TTTTTTAAATCTCAGCGTTAATTCCGGCGTGTATTAAAATTACGTGATGCTCCCACTGAATGCATCCACATCATCTAAGAGAATTTTGGATTTTTATTAAGTGGAAATTTGATGTTTGAACTGGCGAAATTAATGAAATATTCCTATCACGAACGCTTTTATAAAAATGACTAGTTTATAGCCGTACGTGACAAAAACTTTTATAAATAATTGATTGTCAAAAATTGAGTGGCTAAGGTAGTATTTTAAAACTCTTACAATTACCCCGTTTGATGACATATAAATATTAGATGGTTTTTTATCATGCCGGATACTAACGAAAGAAATAGCATTTTGAGGACATGACAATTTCGACGGTGTCAATGTTTGAGCTCAGAGCAATGTCTGGGATCTCTATTAAGTTAAGCAATGCATTCTAAATATTAAAATCTAGCAATTTTAATTCTCGAAGAAGGCTTTTTTTTATCAGTTCAGTACTTGAAAACATCATCCTCATGAGTGATCGATGCTAACAATGTATGCTGCCATTTTTGGCAAAAGTCACAAGACTGTATTCCCATTATACGTTAGGTTGGTGCCTGCCATAACTTCGCGAACACTTTTTTCAGCATTTGACTTACAATAGGCTCGATTTCCACCGTCTCCCGGGTCCGGTCTTTGATCCTCCCCGAAGAGAGAGGGGGATGAGTGCCGGCTCATTTTCCCGAACAGAGGCAGGTAATCGAACCTACATTTGACTTGTTTGTGTCGGTCTTACTTTTCTTCCTTGTTCTCAAAGTAAAACTTTTTTAATGTTCTTTAGCTGTTTTAAGAACCCAGAGCGAGGAAGAATCTACCCTGACTACTTCTCTTGGTCGCCATCAGCTTATCGAAGCTGAATTGATTAAACAGCGGATAAGTGATTTTTGGTAGGTTTTTGGCCAAAATATTTTTTTCCTCTTCTTTAAAACCAACATTTCTTAAATCCAATTCCATCCGGAATGAGACTTTTTGTAGGCAATATGCCACAATGAAAATCAAAATTAAATTTATATTTATGAAAATTCCAGGTAGATTCATCTAATGGAACTTATATCCTGCGGCTATCAGGATTAAGTACGACAACGGAAACTAAAATCATTATGATTAAAAAATAAGAAAAAGAAAGAAATTAGATGACTGGCTAATCTGTGTGGAAATCTTCAAAGGATCAATATGAGTTCAGTTCCTTTATTATAGGATGCTACGAAATAGCGTTAAGGTAATTGACGCTCTCTGATTGGCTAAAAAATGAAGTGTTTATTATTTTGTTCAGCTGATGTGAAAATAAAAACTACTGGTTCACTGAAAAAGCCTTGTTAATCACTACTACCTCTTTTTCCAGTACTCTTTAGGTCTAGCGTGGGTATATTTCTCCGGTAAAACAGGAAGCACATTCTTTTGCGTGGTACCCTATGTCCATTAACACACTGCTCGCAAGGGACTTGTCCGCTGAAAATCGTTCGGTTAAGCAGCAAGTGCGCTTAAAAATGCTTTTAAACTGGCAATTCTAACGAGCATTTTCAGTTCGTCTTTGACTCTTATGCCATTATACAAAACAGATTAACCCAAGATCGAATTCATGTTATCATTTACGGCTGTATAACTCAAAGCGAAAATCAGCCTCGACACCGCCCCACATCAGAACTGTGACACCCTATGTTCACTGTTTTTAAAGAATTACCGTCATAGTTAGTTTTGTCCAAATTGTTTGAAAGTTGAATCTCGTGTGAACATGATGTCTAACCGCGAGTGAAATGACCAAAGAATTTAGAAATATTTTATCTGTTTCAAATATAAGTTTATTGATCTTATCCCTTCGAATATGTGTTTAGGTGAAGAGAAAAAAAGGCAATCCGTTCTTTTTTTGCTTTAACTGTACAATATTTTTTCCGCAAAATCTAATGTGAAATGAAATTCTTAACAGTGTCCCCTGAGTGTCAACAGTAATACGACTTAACGTATACACGCTACGACGGTGTTGCTTAATACTAAAAGTTAACAAATCGCCAATTTAGGAAACGGAACGTCAAGGTAAAGACTCCTCCGCCTGGAAGATAGTGAACACCATTACACAGAGAAAACGAAAAAAAGAAACAATAATGTATTTAAAAGGTAATATTATTCTCCCAAAGTGGCATAGGAATTTTGATTTCTTATGCTATACAACTATCACAGTTTCTCGTTATACTAGCAGTTTCCATTTCATTCTCACCATATGTTTTAAAATTATTCTAGCAAAAATTTAAATTTTTTTACCTGATAAATAATACAAAATGCGTGATTAATTTAATTTCACCGAGCCTAGTTTATCAGAAAGTTGTAACTATCTGAATGTCATCGTTTCTGTAAGTTTCCATGTAAACCGATCGAGCTATCTTTATTTTGTTCTTGGAAAAATTAACGATGTGGTGAGAACAAACTGGGCAAGTCTTTTTCAGTAAAACTACCAAGTTCCCCATTGAAATTCCCCGGGGGCGTTTGAAAATACTTCTGATCTGGGGAAAATATAGTAAACTGAAATTTTTTTAATTTTAAAGGAACTGGATGCGTAGAAGTTCAAATTTTTTCGAAATATTAGCTCACCTTTACCTGTGCCGGGCTGCAGGCTTACTCTGTCATTCAGGGATGAATCACTGTATATGAGCCTTCCTTTTTTAAACCCTGAATATAATAGCTTCTTATTCCATAGATAGCCGGCCTGCCACCCTTGACGCCGCTCTAAACAACAGATGGCCAAAATGAAAGCATTTTTAATGTTTGGAGTTAGTTTTCAAATTGTCTTGATGATGTTTTGACTTAGAAGCTTCCTTAATTGAAACACAACGTCCGAATACAGCTTGTTGTTATTGGTTAGTCATTAAATGGAATGACTTTTCTCGTAAAGTTTTCCTGACATTTACCCAAAACAAATTAATTTATCGTGCGTTTTGCTGTATTTTGGAAAGAAGCATATTTTTTTGCAATTTTCGTGATTGATTTTTCGCAGAAAAAAAATGAGCTGAGGAAAATTACTTGGTCGTGATAAAAAGCTTAACACAAGCCTAGAAGCTTCTGTCTCTGCCTACTGTAGCTATTTGAAAAGTTGGCAATAATTGTTTCCAAAATGGTCAGACAACCTTTTTTTCTCCAATTCTTCGAGCCTGTATAATCAAACATATTCCTAAAAAAAAAAAACGGAGTCCGAGTTCAATTTATTTACGCTAAATTATTACAAATCAGCGGAAATGTTTATGAATCGACTTTAGCCGTACTGTCGAAAGAAAGGGAGACTGAATGTTCCTTTCTTTAGTCAAACAATTGCTCTCTCTATAGTTATTTTTTGGGTTAGGAAATAATGTATGTTTGTAATTTTCCATGAAATTGCTTTTCTCGATACTGAATTGAATGAAGTCATTTCCGAGGCCCATTTATGGCTAGTCAGGGTTCCATAACGATATCTAATTGATCGAATATGGAACTGGGCAATTTTCTATTGATTGACATCAGATCTTCTAGCGGTAAAAGAAGCCGAAAAGACCCATTTATATTACGGCATTATTCATCACTTCTTACAACAGATACCGGTATACTCAAAAGTTTACATTTAAATCACTCTCAGCTGTTTGGGGAAAATGAACGTCTCTTGTCCACTTAGCAGAAAAAAAACATTTTATTTTCTCAGTTTTTACTTAACCTTTGAAATCTTGACAGAGCTTGGATAATAGTAGCCACTCAACTTTTTTCTTAAAAACATTGCCATAATGTACATGAAATACATTAGCTTGAATCCAGTTTTATCGCATTTACTCCCATATCTTCAAAACTCTCCGATTAGACCGAAATGTAGTGAAAATAGCTGCTCCGCGTGTTTTGAAAAGTCATTTTTATCAGAGATAAACAATTCAACTGGAGACCTTTATTTTTTCTAGACACATTTGATGACCTTTATCCTGTTTTCCGTTTTTATTTTTCAATACCTGGTCCTGCATTTCTGGTTTGCAAATTGATTACATAAAACATTGAAATGTCAGTTCACTTAAACTCCTTAAAAAATCTTCTAAAAATATAGCAGGACATCCTTGGGCCCGCGATTAAGGTCCTTTGACCATGCTAGTGGATTTCGAGAACACATTTTCTTCACGATAACTAAAAATATTTTGACGAGCATTTAGCGGCTGACCATATTTTTGGGGTGTTCGCACAAGTGCGGTGTTCGCAAGCGAGAGTTGACTGTAAAGAAAGGATAATAAAATATGAGTATTGTTATTAGCCATTTGCACATTTCCGTTCGAATACACCTCATTTTGCCCCACTTTAACATTGGAAAGGAGCAAAAAACAGCTCAGTCGGTTAGTAAGCGGCCTTCTGTGAGGGGCGATGTCGAGTTCTATTCTCAGGTTCATCTTCTTTCGTACCCTTGTACTGTTAGGACACTGATGGGAAGAGAGGGGTAAAATGACTACACCATCGGCCTCAGGATAGCAGGCTAATGAGTACTGTTGCTATTATTTATTATTTACCAGTAACACCTACCCTTCAAAGCCGAAGATTGATGACGTGGGTTCAGCCATCCTCGGAGACCCAGGGCCAGATAGAGGGGGCGAGGGAAAGTCTAAACGGGCGGGAAAATATGGCACGAAGAAAAGTAAAGAACGACGAGAAGAGCCCCTGGGCAGAAAAACACAAAAGTTTTCTGGCACCGATCAGAAGCCAGAACGGCGGCGACCGTTTGGAAACTGGTCTGGTAAGACATTGTCCCCAGGGGCTCTTCTCGTTTTTCCGCCCGTTTAGACTTTCCCTCGCCCCAACTATCTGCCCATTGGCCTCCGAGGATGGAGTTCAGCTAAATATTACGAAAAAAGAAAAATACAAAGTACATTTCTAGTTTACAGGACTGTGATTGAATGAGGAAAAGGTAAGGTAAAGGCGCACACGAGCCAAAAGCCAGGGGCACCCAACGACTGTTTTCTGTGACATATCTGTTCGGAGAAGCAAAAATTGCCTAGAATTTTCTATAGCTTGAGGAAAGCTAAAAATTTGTAGATGACCGTTCAATTCACGTACAATTTTCGAAGCTAAATTATTAAATTCCCTACGATTTTCTGAAGTATATTTTTTGCCATTTCACTCCCCATATTAGGCCATTTTTCGTAGAGAAAGGAAACCTAAAACTTTCGGAATCGAAAATGCGATGCAGAGAGGAATCAGAAAAACTATCACTTTCGTAAAACTTTAAATTGTAGCTAAAATTTTCGGGGGAAATAATACCAAAGCCCTTGTAATTTCGAAAAGACTCAAGTTGCCCTAGGATGACCGAACAGATATAAATTTTTTAGCACCACTTAAAATCAAGAGAGAATGATAAATACATTTCTAGAGATCTAAAAGTACTCTGGATAGCCTAGAAAGTGTTTTCAAAGCATTTAGGGGGAAACTGTCGTTGGGTGCCCCTGAAAAGCCCAAACGGCCTGAGCTTATCCCGGTTTCATTAGCATGAAGTATTGCTACTCCCTGCTGGACGGGATGTTAGTCCATTGCAGTGTTACCCCTTAGCAGGTATGTGGCCGGTACCCATTTTTATACACCTGGATGAAGAGAAACAAAGTGGAGCGAAAGTTCCTTGTCTAAGGAAACAACGCGACAGGCGAGGCTTGAACCACGGACCTCCACATCCGGGGTTTAAGGTGTTAACCACTCGGCCATACTTGAATGAGGAAACGGACTGTTTAAATTAGTGTTCTCAAAGAAAGACTGACGCAGACTGTTCCACAATAACAACGGAAAAAAGGGGAAAAAGACCTTAGCTTTCACTTTTACATATACATAAAAACCAAACGTTTTTTTTAATGCTGCTTTTATTTGCACTCATTTTGAAAATTCACACTGTACTGAAAAGACCTAACTAATAATAATAATAATTCGGGAAAGCGCAAACCATGAACGATACGAGCACTTTACTTCTGGTTGTAAGGCCATAAAAACTCTTTCGAATTCCAATAAATTAATGTTTAAAGACTTCTTTTTCTAAGAAGACCTCTTGGGGGGGAGGGGGGCGAGGGGGAGGTCGAATACGTTTCTTATTGTAATATTGTGCAATGGCCGTTTGAAGAGATGTGTCCCACGTATCGCTCACAGCTGACGCTTTTATGACCGTGAGACCACGTGGTCATATAACTTTACTGGCACTCCATGTCAATAGCGATATACTTTATATTAACAGCTATCCTTAAAAATAAGGACATAAACTTAAACAATACTTTTCAAAAGTTTACAAAAAGCCGTTTGAAAACAGCTAACGAGTCAATTGCTGACAGTGAAGAACCATTTGATAGATCTTCACAATAAATATATTAAATAAATAAATAAATAATTATGATATTTTTCTAATTTAAGCCTTTAAATTTTAGCTTATATGCTTTCTAGTCTAATTAATTAAGCTCGCGAATCAAAACTTAAAGAAAACTATTCAAAAATTCCTCCATCTTTAGTGTTGAAATTCATCAATTTTACTTCTGCTATATCATTTATAGTTGCTAAATGGTAAAAGCAGTTCTTAGTTTGATGATGCTGAACAACCGGATACTAAAAGAAACTTCACTTTGTTTTGACTCATAAGGGTACCCGAAGCATTTCTCGCTACCCCATTTCTTCCTATTGATATAAACGCGTCGTAATGTGAAGTAATGTAGTATTTTGCTGATGCATAAGTGTTGTAGGTCGATGAGCTCTGTGCTTCCTTAAAGATTGTTTCATCGCTAGGTGTAGTCTGTAAAATAAAAGGAATAACTTCTTGAGTGTTGCGATAATAGTTGACCTGAAAGAAAGAGCGCCTTTACTTTACGCCTGTAGCTAATGCATAAGTTGACACTTTCTGAATTACTGATCTCCTTCAAAGAGGCCTGTTTGTGCCAATAAGAGGCGAAAAGATATTGCCCGAGGAATGATGAGGGAAGGCTTTTAAAAATCAATATATTCCTTTGTTTACCTGTTGAGAGAGGAAAGCTAAAACATAGAGAAGAGAACTAGGATTCCAAATGACAACGTACCGTAGAATAAAGATCTCCATTTGCGTTAATAGCCACAAAACGCCCAGTTTTAATTCCTTTAATACGCTTCATTCCCTTTCCCACGGAGTGCACCTCAAGTTTGGCTAAAAGAAAGCGGAAAAGTGAAAATTAGTAAAGCAAACTTTTGCTTTCACGTTAATAACGAAGGACGTGCTAGTAAACGTGCTTCAAATACCGAAACTTTTGAAGTAGATGATCTACAGATGATCTACATCTACAGCGCTCTTGCCTTTTTACCTTTATTGATTTACAGACTTTTAAGATCCACTGAGGCCCTATTAGCGTCATTTTATACTGTCTCACGAGTGGATTCGTTAATAAGTGCATCACTCAGAATAAAGCGATACGAGTGACTTGTGCTATGCTGAACTTACTAAAATCGTTAAGATTTGAGAACATAGGAATAAAAGGCTAGGAAACATAAAAAAAGAGCAATTTAGAAAAAAAAAGCATAATTATGCCATGTAGACATGCCATTTGTTTGAAACAGTCACTTTTTTTTTTAACTGTTTTCAACTGGAACTTTCTCGACATTCAAGCAAATCTCTAAAGAAGATCTTCCCTTTTCAGTCAAAGTAGATCACGCTAAACCCGGGTTCGAAACTCGGTCCTTTCAGTAAACTATCGACGGAGGTTCTCCTTTTGGCAATTGCTAAACACTGAAGACGACCGCATTATACAAATCATTTCTTACTGTATTCACTGGTGCAGTCTACGCTTCCACTGACCGTCCCGTCGCTGGTGATCTGAAGGAGGACTCCGGTCTTCCCATAAAGACGCCTAGTACCGATATAAGAAGTTGTTTGCGATGCAATCTGATTTATGTTCGGGTTGGTAGAGAGAACAGAGCGTCGATAACGACGAGATGAGAAGAGTTCTTTAAGTCCCCATTCCACGATAGGGTCGATTGATGCTGGTGAATTCTTCACATTTTGCTTAAGTACAGCAGACTGACAAACTTCCAGAGCGAAGAGAAAAGAGAACAATGTGTACTGTGATAAAAGAAAAGAATTGATAGGTTAAGCTCATTGATTAATAAACCTTGTTTATCTAGGTTTCAATGAACTGAGTAATTTAGTGAAACCGTTTGTTACTTCCTTGGCTGTAGACGTGACCTGGCATATCTACAAGGTCATCCGTGCCAAGCAGAGGTTTCTCAGTTATGGTTTAACCCAGGGTATTGCATCCATCTCCGGGAATCGACCATAAGACCTACTGCTACTTTGAAACCAGCGCTCTTGTAACTGAGATACCCCTGACACGCACGCTTGCTTGTGACCTTGCCTTACAGCTATAGGCATTTTGACATCAAGATTACCCCTGACTGTACCTGCATGTGAGAATTTTATCTTGGTTTTTTCACCTGCTATAGACAGTAGTTTTGCTTTCTCTATTTTTGGCCTGCTTTTTTTAACATCCAACACGCGGTTTCGGCGAGTTCATAAAAAAATGATAGGCCGAGTTCTTAGAGGATCCCAGATGGACCAATATTCATGGACACTGATCATGATTTTCTGCGGTTATTTCACACGTTTTACCAAACAAAGACTAAATTTGCCGGTTATTTTGCCTGATAAAAATAGAACAAAATTAACCATTTTACAATAGATGGCATCAGAAGTGTGTTAAATTTGCAGCAAAAATGAAGAGCAAACAGAGATAGTTCTAAAAAAAAAGTTAAAAAAAAAAACATATAACTCTCCCTTTTTTTGGCCTCAAAGCTTAATTATCACTGAAAATCGCAGAGAGTACCCTTAACATTATTTTCTGGTGCATTGACACAGAATATTCCAGGCGTTCAGCTAGTAGAAAATGGCGCGAATGGAGAGTTGGGGGGAAAAACTGATTAAACGTTCTAGCATCTCCTTAAATCCTTATATGCAAGTAAAAGAACTTTCATACTGGTAAGAGAGCAGCCTTGCCTTCTGGTGATACCCATAAAGTATTTGTAGCAACAAATTTTAAAAGCACTGTTCCCAAGTCTATTAATGATTTTATACCAGTGAAGTTAAATGAGAAATAACTTGGTAACTTTTTCGACCCGGTCCCTTAAAGTCAAGAAAATCCCACTTAGAATTCAAACATATAAGCTTTCGTCTGTAGAGTCAAAAGGTAGGACTACATTGCAAAAGATAAATAAATACTAATGATCAGAGCAGTACAAACTTACCAAAATCATCTTGTGTACTGGCGGGTTCTGGAGATATGGCTGGAATCACGGAGGTTTTTATTTCTAGATGGAAGGTGAGGAACTTCTCCACGTTTATGTTACCTGCACTGTGCAGCTGTTTGTCTTTTTATACACGGTGAATGTCGGTTAAGTGGGCTGAAATTAATAGCACAGAATGACAAAATATTTTTACGAGAATGTTGTAATTGTTAAAAAATGTCCGCAAATTGGTGGGCGTAGTACGGTACTTCAGTCTCAGCCGGATCACAAAAAGACCAGTTAAAACGAATTAGGGGAATTATATAAACTTGAAAAAGGTTCTAACTAAGTTAATTCATTCGTGAAATTATTCAGCCGGAAAAGACTTATCCAGGCATGAAGAAAGAAAGAAACCTTAAAGAAACAAAAGAAACAAAGTTCCATTTAAACTATCAGACATCGATTTATATGAAGATTAAGCACAGTTTGCAAACTACAAGTTTCAATAAAAGGTTTGCGACTGTCTTCGTTTTTCTTTTACAGTTGAGTTTCCAAAGAATGTATTTTTCCTAGTTGTGAACCGCATTAACATCAGGTGCAACATTCATTTGTTATGCTAATTATTTTCAAACTCGGAAATTACGCTGTATTATCTAAATTTAGAAGTTACGACAAGATAAAAGAATATGATTGAACTAAGATTAATTTGGACCTGGTTAACAAATCAGTTGTTACATTAAATTTAAGCCTGTTACAGTGGAAGCTAGCTGTGTCACTTGACAAAGGGACATTATCTTCAGTTCTTTTTAAGTCTAGTAATGAATAATATTTAAATCTTGTAAACCAATATCGTACAGAATAAGTTTGACTTAGGAAATAAGTTAAAGTGAATGGTCATGAATTTTATCATAAAGTGAAAATGTACAGGAAGTGGTTTTTATATTTCTGAGCATAAGTTTTATTTCGGGGGAAGCGGATATTATTTCTTTTTTTCCTGTTGTACTTGTTACTCGTGAGCAGCACACGGTTTGGAGAAAACAAATTCATAAGTACAAATACAATATTATTAACTGACTCACGCCGGAAGTTGGAAATCCGGAAGTTTAATCGACAGTTCTCTTCCGGAAATAGGGACCATGAGTTTTAACGGTTCCCTTAGCGAATAAGAATATACAGACAGGGAAAAATTCTTTTTATGTTAACGAAATTTTCGATATATTTTTGACGATATCACAGTAAGGTGATAAGAATTTGACCCTTAACTGGTTTGTGTTGAGCCGCACCGTTTCAATACCACCGACGTCAGTAGTACCTGCGATCGCCTGCGTTAGTTCAGTTGCTTAGGGATTCAGTATCATTCTTCGGAAAATTTAGATACAATCTAAAGTTTTACGAAAGTGAGAATTTTCCTGATTTCTCTCTCTAACACATTTTTGAATCCGAAAATTTTACGTTTCCTTCGATGAACGACAAATAGCTTTTCTGGGGAGTGAAATGCAACCTCAGAAAATCGTTGGGAATTGATTCGATAGGCTTCGAAAATTGTACATGAATGGAACGGTCATCTAGAAATTTTTAGTCGTCCTCAAGCCATAAGAAATTCAAGGCAATTTTTGCTTCTCCGAAGAGGTATTTGACAAAAAACAGTCGTTGGGTGCCCCTGATATTTTTTAAGTATATCTGCTTGACTAAACATCCCTTTTATAGTTTTTTTTATTTATAGAATTTGCCGAGGAACAGAGAAATGAAAACGGGAACTTAACATCGATCGATCGAGGTAAGCTTGAATATTCTTTGATTAAATAATAATAATTAAATAATTATATTTGGCTTTAACATGATCTCGGAGGGTGTAAAGCCGATAACCCCCATCCTCGATTTTCGTAATTCTTTAGGTCATATGTCACTGAAATCGTCCAAAACAGCAATGTTCATTCCTTTATGGTTCAGCCTCGGTGAAAAATGAGACGTTCACATAGTAAAAAAAGGGTGTAAAGCGCTTTTGAGAGGTTTATTATATCGTCCCGGTGTACCTCACACGAAGTATTTTTACTGAGGACAACGTTTTTACCTCCTTTGGTTGAAACTTGGGACCGTTTTGCCCCCCTGGTTGAAACGCGGGACCGCTATTAATGTCGTCATAGACTTCAAAACCTTTTAAAACGAGCTTTAGTAGCTACAACCCCGGCTCATTCAAAACGTCACTAATCAGTTTCTTGCGCTAATTTTGATTTTATTCCAAAGAGCTTGAAAGGTCAATTGTTGGTGAATTTCTGTGGAGTTGAATTCTTGGTGACGCACCCAAATTTGGAGGAGATAACTATTGCTGTCAAACTGCCACAGGCATGTCAGGTCAAGTCATTCTGCCCCGAGAGGCGCCCCGGGAGGGAGGGAAGAAATTCTTAAATGCTGTGCGCCAAAAAATTTATGAAATAAAACTAGCTTTGGACTGTTTCATTTTTAACCAGCGAAAGAAAAGAATAACTTTCCCCCTGTTTTCATGAACTCGGAATGAAACTTTTCCTGTTCTTTGTCACCTGATACACTGTAAGCAGCCTCGAGATAAGGGGGGAGCCCGGTCTCCAAAAAAAATTGGCGGATCCAGTGACGGAACCTCCCCTGGATCCGCCACTTGTAAGGGTTCGGAAGCAACTAATACTTCTAGCACGAGTGGCGCTGAGCACTTCTCTTCTTTTTACTTTATAAACTAGCCTTACTGCTGCACTCGAGAATTACTACAAGAGAATCTATACTATGTCAGTTAGTAAATCTTATCGTGACAGTTTTTCAAATCACATGAATAAAATTATGCTGTGTTTTTCTTGCTAAAAGTGAAACTTTAATAATATAACTAGAAAAAAAATTTTGCTTTGCAAGCAGAGGCGATGGGTATCCGAAAACAATTACATTTTTTGAATATCCCTGGAATTTAGTTTAGTGGCAGAATTCAGCGAGCGTTTCATTAAAAAAATCAGTCAGTTAAAAAGTGATATACGGTCCTGTCGATGTAAGAATTTCAGTCTCAAACAAAAGTCAGGTCTGATAGGTGGGTTCGGACACCCCAGACCCTTCCCCTAGATCCCTCACTGCTTTGGTGGCCTTTGATATCCTTCTTTCAGTATTCGGTAATTCTAACACTAGCTATAGTTGCACGTTTTGAACTTGAAACGCAATTATTATAAACGGCAGGTAAAATATAAGAAGTGCACAGCGCCCCTCCAGCAAGAAGGGTGCATCAGTCGGTAAATTTCAGGGCAAGAGTTTCATTCTTGACGTTTTCATGAAAACAGGAGGAAAAGTTTTACTTTTCTTTAACTGGTTAGAAATGAAATAGTCCAAAGCTAGTTTTATTTCAGAAATGTTTTAGCGCAAAGTATGGAAGAATTTCATCCCGGGGGGGAGGGGTTACTGCCATATATGGGCTATATAGGTATGTGCCGCTTTGTATTGTTTTCAAGCAGTTTACTCTAGGATAGGGTATATAAATCAGAGCGTTTGGATCTAGAATAGGGTATCGTTTTTCATGAAACTGATCAGTTGGTTGAAGATTTTATCTAGACTAGGGATTGTGGTATAAGGTTTTGTTCTGGCTAGACTACTGTTCTAGTGACCTCAGTAGTTTCTGGAAAACAGCTACTATAGGATAGGGGGGATTAGGGGAGTTTACTCTAGTACAGAGTAGCAGAATTCAGCTGAACTAGCTCTGGTATAGGTTAAGGGTTCCAGGGTCCCAGTGGCACATCCCCATCCACAAATTCCTCAAGTAGCCCCCCCCCCCCCCCCCCCCCCCCCCCC